GGAACTTATATATCCATCTAGTAGTATGATATGCTAAGTTTTTTTCTTACACAGTCTCACTAATAATGTTGAGAAAAGACGAAAGAAACGAAAAAATATATATAATCTTCTGCATTAGTGAAGACTCGTCGAACGAAATCGAATCTGACGGGCAACATGAACGATGCTGTGCTGGTATACGATACAAGGCGATTTTGATCGTAACCGCTGATGTCCTTTCGCCGAGGTTGAAACGAAATAAACTGGACTAGACTGCAACCTTGCAAAAAAATACATTTCACATGTTATAGTGGACTCTCCGAAAATCGTGATTATGTGGACAGTGATTGTTCTATAGATGTCAATGCTGCCTTGACAGCGCGAGAGGTGCGAAGGTGTCAGCTGTCATCAAACAATGCTTAGTCTAAGAGGATTCATCATAAACGTACATGCTAAAGGAAATATTATTTTTTACTGTATCGTTTCTGCAATGCTTTAGCAAGGTACCGAATCCAAAAAAGCAGCTTTGAGCTCGAAACTGAGCCCTTAATCACAAATTTTGCAAAGAGTGTCTAGTCTACGATCTGGTTTTGCGCAAAGAAGCCTTCATTGGCCTTGTTGACGGCTTCAGCTAATCCCTAAATTGTTCTTACACAAAAGATTTTGACAGTAGATGTGCATAACCCACAATCCAGCATGTATCGGAGTTTGTTAGCTCGGTGGAAGCATAATCGTGCGCGGATCCCAGAAAAGTCATCAAGAATCATGATTTTTTCACGGAGACATGGAGGGAACAATGTTATCGAAGTATTGGAAAGTTTTGTAGATTTTTTAGTAGAAGATCGCAAAAGAATTCAAGTTTATCTAACGAAATGAACATTTGTACTCCCAAAATGTCACAATAGACGAATCAGCTCATCTCAATACAATAATTTCGCAAACGCTTCAACAACTTGAATAATGAAAATCTCGATTTGGACCCAAATTAACTTTGATTTCGGCGTCGTATGCCATCTGCGCAGCCAAGTGTCTCAATTTGATTGATTGTCTAGTTATGAATTGTTTTCTATTGCGCATGTATCTGAATGAATTCACTAAT